CCTGGTCATCAGCCCCCGCTCCCCTGCCGCACAGCTGAGCCTCCGCAGCCCTGGGCCGTCCGCTAAGGCCTCGGGCCGCTGCCTCCCGGCGGCCGCCCCCAGCCCCGCTGCGCCGGCAGGATTTGGCCCCTCCGGGCAGCTCAGTGGCCCTAAGGGAGCAGGCTCGCACCCTGACCGCCTCTGGGTGAGCAGTTGCCACGCGCTGTGGCGTTGGCCGCGCCCTTTGGGCACCAGGCCGGAGCCGGCCACAAGGACCCCTTCTCCAGCCAGGCCTCGGCCTAGGACGCCCCGGGATGAGCATCGGTGGGTCTCTTTCTGGAGAACATCGTCGCTTGTTAAATTCAGTGCCCCGCTATGTTGCCACCTCCTCGGGGGACCTCCGCCTCTGCCCTTGACCTGGCCCCGCGGTGGGCCCACCCAGGTGGACTGAGGGACCGCTGAACCCGAATGGATCCCAGACCTGGGGGACCTCGGCCAGACAGGGCAGAGAAACAACCAGAAGGCCCAGCGTGGAGGGCAAAGCCTGGCACGGGGGCCTGCGGAAGTGGAGTTAAGGAGGGTGTCTCTGGTCCCAGCAGTTGAAGCAAAATGGATAATGAAGGAAACCACTTATGTGTGCTTTTTAAAAAAAAAATAAAAATTGTTTTCACAACCACCCTGAGGCGGGTAATATTGTTACCCTCATTTTACAAAAAAAAATGGGCTTCAAAGAGATTAACTGCTCTTTCGCCATGAGCAAGTGACAGCGAGGATTTGAAGCTGGGTCTAGTCGATGCCAAGGCTGCTCTTAACCTCCTTATACCCATAGCTGGCAAAGAAAGCAATGCGAGCGAAGGCGCTGAAGTGAGAAACAACGCAGAATAGATGAGGGAGCCAAATGCCATTGCATTGTATTTTAGGGGTGGTATTTTAGCATCCATTCACTTATTGAACATTTGAATTATTTCCACTTTTGGGGCATTGTGAATAATGCTCCTAAAAACATTTGTGTAAAAGTTTTGTGTGGACACAATGTTCCCATTTCCCTTGGTATATACCTAGGAATGGAATTGCTGGGTCATATGGTAACTGTATTTAATGATTTGAGGAGCTCCCAGACTGTTTTCCAGGTGGCTGTACCCTTTTCACATTCCCACCAGCAACGTAGGAGGTTCTGAATTCTCCAGATCATGACCAGCATTTGTTGTGATCTGGCTTTTTGATTCTAGCCATCCTTGTGTATATGACATGGTATCTCACTGTGGTTTTGATTTGCATGTGCATCTTTTTTTAAGACCAGGGAAATCTTTTCCAGAAGTCCTCCAGCAGACTTTCCATCAAGCCCCACTGGCCATAATGGTATTAAATACACCTTCCTAAACCAATCACTGGCACAGGATATGGGATTACCAGTGAGGACTCACCTCCTGGTTTGGAGCTGAGCTGTGGACTGCCTCCCCTGAAGCACACAGCCCTCCAGAGGAGGGTGCCTACTCTGACAACACAGATGATAAACTGGTAGTCATTGCTTCCCCCTCCCCCCTTTCTTTCTTTCTTTCTTTCTTTCTTTCATTTATTTACCTACCTATGTTCTTGTGGGAGGGAAGGTCATCGATACCTGGGCCTTTTGATGGATTCAAAGGGTGACCAGATTTGGGGCTAGGGCCTTAGTATCACAAGGTCCAGAAGAAGGGTAACAAGGGGCCCCAAGGCATGAAGTGGGAGGGTGAAATCAGTATGATGGGGCACATGGTCAAAGAAAAGCAGTGGCTATGGGATGGAGTTTCTCTTGTATGGCATTGCTGGTTGTTGGCCAACTGAGAAACTCTGGAAGTCTGTGGGGACAAGCACAGGGGGAGGGTGCTCATCTCAGAGTCTGCCCACGTATCCCCTGCCCAGCCAACCAGTAGTAATGTTCTTTCAGCATATGAATAGTCTCCTCTGAGGCAGCAGCCTATTGTCTACAGCCACCTCTGATACCTTATGGCCAGAGTCCAGTACAGGAGTTAGCAGAAAAATCACAGACAAGGAAAAGCTAAAGGAGTTCATCACCACCAAACCAGTTTTACAAGAAATGTTAAAGGGGCCGCTTTAAGAAGAAGGGGGAAAAAAGATTAAAAATATGAATAATAAAATGGCAATAACTACATACCTATCAATAATTACTTTAAATGTAAATGGATTAAATGCTCCAATCAAAAGACATAAGGTGGTTACAAAATAATATTGAATTGTAATAGTAATATAATATAAACAATAATTGAAAAATAAAATTTTAGATCAAAAGACACAAGTAAAGAGATGGAAAAAGGTATTTCATGCAAATGGAAATGAAAAAAAAAAAAGCTGGGGTAGCAATGCTTATATAAGACAAAATAGACTTTAAAACAAAGGCTACAACGAGACAAAGAAGGACATTTCATGTACAATAGCGAAGATATGGAACCAACCAAGAGCCCACTGATGGATGATTGGATAAAGAAAATATGGTATAGCCTTGGCCGGTATGGCTCAATTGGTTGAGTGTTGTCCCATTGCACCAACAGGTAGCCAGTTCGATTCCCTGTTAGGGCACATGCCCAGGTTGCAGGCTCAATTCCCAGTAGGAGGTGTGCAAAAGGCAGCAGATTGAGGCTTCCTCTCCCTCTCTCTAAAAAAATAAATAAATAAAAACAAGTTTAAAAAAACAGTCAATAGCTTTAAAAAAAAAAAAGAAGATATGATATATATATATATACACACACACACACACACACACACACACACACACACAATGGAATATTACTCAGCCATAGAAAGAATGAAATCTTGCCATTTGCGACAACACACATGGACCTGGAAGGTATTGTGCTGGGTGAAGTGGGTCAGACAGAGAAAGAAAAATGCCGTGTGATTTCACTTACTGTGGAATCTAAAAAGCAAAATAAATGAACAATCAAAACAGAAACAGGCTCATAAATACAGAGAACAAACTGATAGTTGCCCGAGGGGAAGGGGATTAGGGGACTGAGCGAAAAAGGTAAAGAGATTAAGAAGTACAAATTGGCAGTTACAAAATAGTCACAGGGATGTAAAGCACAGCACAGGGAATACAGTTCATAAGTTATATAAATGTCTAACCACTACACATACACCTGAAACTAATATAATATTGAATGGCAACTGTAATTGAAAATTTTTTTTTATTTTAAAAGAAGTAAGCAGGAAAATAATATATACAAGGACTTAGGTACTAAAAATTATCAGGTGTACTGGAAGAAAGGGCTGTAGTTTGGGCCTGCAGGAAAGACCCCTGAGCACGTAAAAGTAACTCGCTAGAGAAGCTACCATTTATGTGACAGGCAACTGTAAAGGCCACCTTGGAACTCAGTTGGATTTAGTAACACAGCCCTGTTGCTGAGAATCAGGATGCTACATAACCAGAGTGGTGTCTCGCTACCCACAAAGCTGGCATTGGACACTGGAGAGCTGCTGCAGGAAAACTCCATGTCTCCATAATCCTGTTTGCCAGGAGAAAACAATGAAAACTGCAGAAGTGTGGTCTGTCTCACATCTGCTTCCTAAATTCTTAAAACCCAATTTGCATAACCCAATTTCTAGGGAATCTACAAAATGTAGCCTTTTGTTTCCCAGCCTTTATAGCATAGAAAGACACTCTAGAAGGAGACAGGAATCATGAAAGGAGCCCCTGTTGTCCAATGACATGCAGCGCAGGAGCCTGAAGTGGCCATTGCGTTTGACAATTAGGAAACCAAGGAGGCCATTGAGAGGCCTGTGTCGGCGCAGTCGGGGGGACAGCCAGGCTGCACTGGAAGAACAGTAAGCAAGACGCGAGGAGTGAGGTCAGTGGGTGTGGGCGCTTCCAGGCTCCCGCAAATGGAGGAGAGAGGTGGCCGGCAGAGGGCACGTCCAGTTTCAAGGAGAGTTCGGCTGATTTTTCTAAGCCGGTGCGGAGTCCAGGTGTTTATGGATGGAAGGGGAGGTGCCAGCAGAAGAGAACAGCGGGAGCAAGTGGGCGCAGCTGGTAGGAGGCGACGCTCACGCTGGATGGGAAGATGCTCATGGTATTTTGCTAAGTGACAAAAACATATTCTAAAGGAAACATTGTATAATTTCTTTCCTGTTTTAAAAGTATATTCGATATGCTGAAAATACTGAGTTGTCAGACAACCCTCACAGAGACAAAATTCAGTTCCACACCATGGCACGTGTGGCTCAGTTGGTAGGAGCACGGTCCGGCACACCCACTGTCCGGTACACCAAAGGGTCGAGGTCTGATTCCCAGTCAGGGCACAAACCTGAGTTTCAGGTTCGATCCCCAGCCCTGGTCGGGGTGCGTGTGAGAGGAAACTGATCTCTCTCTCTCTCTCTCCACCCTCCCCTCTCTCTAAAAATCAATGAAAATGTCCTGGGGTGAGAATTAAAAAATTCAATTCCACTGTTGCAAGGCTGGACCACTGCGATGGAGCAGCCCCAGCCAAGGGCACAGGTTTGGGCAGGCTGTGTAGTAGCTGGAGGGGCAAGATAAGGGTGGGAGAGGGTGGAATAGAGGGCAGCAGACCTACACTCTTGCAGGCCATATGGCCACAGGCTGGTTTACTCCATAAACCTCATGCTCAAGTCATGATCCCAACTCACTCACCCTCCCGTCCTCTGAGGAAGAGCCTGCCAGCACTTCTTCCAGAACCAGCTTCAGAGGCTTAGGCATAGCATCTCCCATCCCACCTGCCACATCATGGAAAAGTCACTAATGTGATCGTAACACAGTCTATTTCTTATGCCAACCATATTATGCACACACACACACACACACACACACACACACAGCAGAACTGTGTTCCATAAAATTCCAAGAAAATCATATGTCAAAATGTTAATGATGTTTTTCTGCGTGATAGGAATTGAATTTAGTTTCTCTTTTCTCCTCTTTTGCTTATTGTACTTTCTACTTTTCCCACAACAATCTTGTATTACTTTTATAAACAGGAAAGAAATGAGGTTGTTAAAAAGCATGAAAGTGGAGGGTTGTCTTTGAATCCTAAAATAAATAAATTGCTAAAAATAACTAAATGTTTGATAAAATAATATGTGAGCTGAGCCAAAGGTAAGGCATACTTAGGCATAAAAGCAGGGGCCTAGAAGTATGCAAAGCACTAAAGCCAGATTTGGACTCCAGGACTAGATGCACCTGAACATCAGTTTTTG